AACCCGCGACCCTCAGATTGCGAGTCGAGCGCCTTAACCACCTGGCCAGCCAATTATTAAAGATGAGTACGTAACTACTTTATTTATCTCTACCGAAGTAACACGTTATCTTTGTATGATTACACTCATAGTTTTGCGTAGTATAAAGATACTTAATTTCACTCTATAAAAACTGATTGGTGTATGTGGCAGGACGACAAGGGCAACATTGGTGTAATTGGTTCATGGCGAATTCGTAACCTTTTTTTTTTTGACAGTACAATGTTGTCACGGCTGGACTTTTGGCTGGACCTCCACAGTCCTTTCCGAGGAAAGATATTCATACAGTGAAATAGCCAAGAGAACAAAGCTCTAGGTTCACCAATATTAAATACTTCTATTCACAACATACAATGAAAAGCATGGGATAAAGGAGTTCCGCACACATACACGTATGGGAATGTAAAACCCATCTAAACAGACTTCCAATACATGCAGGCTTGCTGCTATCGCTGTCGAAGTTCTCCGACTGATCGTTCAAGGATCCAGAAAGTTAATGCTAATAATTTTTACATATCCAAATCAAATGCGCAAGAGATAAATAGCAAATATATTTTATCTCCAATTAAGTAAAAACCACAAGTAGACTAGCTGCTAGTCTAGGTTTATTCTCGATATTTATATACATAAAACACGTAAACGTTTGCCTAAACACAGTGGGGCAAAAAAAAAAGTCAACCGCAGAAAATTGTAAGTAACATATCTTGAATCTGAGAGATGGAAAATTGTTGTAACGTTGGACGAGGTCTGTGAATATATGCTCGACAAGGAACGGGCGATTTGGTTTGGTTTGAATTTCGCGCAAACCTACACGAAGGCTGTTTGCGCTAGCCGTCCCTAATTTAGCAGTGAAAGACTAGAGTGAAGGCAGCTAGTCATCACCACCCACCGCCAACTCTTGGGCTACTATTTTACCAACGAATAGTGGGATTGACTGTCACATTATAACGCTCCAAAGACTGAAAGGGCGAGCATGTTTGGTGGGACGGGAATTCGAACCCGCGACCCGCAGATTGCGAGTCGAGCTCCTTAATCACCTGGCCCTGCCAGGCCCCCTGGCGATTTGCCTCCGACCGTGAGATGATATGGATTTTCAAACATGATACATGTCCTTTTGACTGGGCTTTATGATAACTTTAAGTTTCCCAAAGCGCACAGCTACTTATTATCAAGAGAATGTATCGAGACCAATTACTGAAAACACAAAATCAATCAACGATATCGATACGATTATGATAGTTAATATAGACTATATATATACTATAGACCAAGCAGTATAGAAATGTGGCCAGTAGACGTGAGGCGAAACCATAATGAAATTTACACCACAATATATTTCAGTCCGTAGGCACTGAGTGGAACGAGAAATAAATTCATTTGATATACGTCATGTTCAATGATAATTAATTTTGCCCTCGCAACGTAATTAAATAGGCCTGTTTTTGAGAGAAATGCCTTCTTGCTAAAGGCGTATAACAAATAATATGTATCTTAAATGCTACTACATAATCTTGTCCCTGAAAACTTTGAAAGTATAAAATCATTTTCAGCGTTATTATTATTAAGTAATATTGCATCCATTACTCATTAAAAGTGGATGGCGTTTCGCCAGATTAATTGATTACATCTATTACCCACTAAGAGTATAGATCGTGTGCTTCGCCATATTAGTCATCCTACATCGTGAAATGCTCGGTAACTTTTCAACAAAAGATTATAATTATAATTAGTTCGCACAACGCAGGTAAAATGAAATTTAGATTTAACCTTCTTGTATATTTCATTTTATCTCATTATGGTATGGTGTATGTGTATGAAAGACTACCACATCATGAAATAATTAATGTTTGGAACTTCCAAATATCATATTTATTCTAACACGTATATTAGTTTTCTTAGTTGCGAATTATAATTTGATTGTTTGATTGTTTGTAATTAAGCAATGAAGCATAAAACTACACAATGGGCTAACTGTGCTCTGCCCACCCCGGGTGTCGAAACCCGTATTCTAGCGTTGTAAGTCCGCAGACATACCGCTGTACCACTGGGAGGGGGGGCTATAATTTTATTAAACTCAAGTTTATTCCAATTTGAGGGGGGCTATAATTTTATTAAACTCAAGTTTATTCCAATTTGGGGGGGGGGCTATAATTTTATTAAACTCAAGTTTATTCCAATTTTATCCTTTGGTTTTATTCTAACAAAAGATATTAACACACACACACACACACAAAGGCATGAAGTTTTAATTGACGAAATGATGAGTTCTATAAAATATATTTCTGTTTTCAACCATATGGGTATATTATGAATAGTTTTCAACACATTATATCCATTTCGTGTGCCACTAGAATCAAAAGAATTTGTAGACAGTTTCATTCAGCATAGTGTAACGAGCTTCATCCAGAAGTAGTAGTTTTAAGACGATGTTTCGAACTTCAAAAACAGCGCCACCTGCTAGTAACATAGTTTTCTACGCCACAAGCTAAAAAAAAAAAAATTAGTTTCGTACTTCTAACTCAAAATTTTGTTCTTTACGCCACCATCTCAAAACTCAATTTCCACGCCACAAGATGAATACTCCGTTCTTGGCACTACCAGTTGAAAAACGTCGTCTCTACACAACCAGTCAAAACACAGTCCCCACTCCACCAGCGCACAACTTCGTTCCCCACGACACCAACTCAAACATTTTCTTCAGTCCGGACACCAGTTGAAAACGTTCGTTGTCTTCACACTGCCACGGATGAATTAATGTCGTTACATTATCCTAAATGATGACTGTTAAAATTTTAAAATACTTACGGCATCCTACTTCATCAGTCCAAGAAAACTGGCAATGAATGTTTCCATCACAAGCCAAGCTCTTATCGATACAGTAGCTGTTGGAACATTTCAGTTGACTTTCTGCACACGTCGAATTTTCTAGAAATTAAGTTGTTTTATAGTCATCAGGAAAGTTGTAATTTACATTCCTTTCTATTCTAGGTAACATAAAATAATAATGAACATATTAACTCCTTTCGTGTAAGTCTTTATTTTGATATTTCGCTTTTGATAACCTGTATTTACATATTAATGCGACAAAATTTCTTTTATGATCTGTTATTATGTTTCCGTACAAAATGTACTCGATAAATAAATGTTATGTATCTGGATTTTTACGTGATATATATTATTTCAATGAACATACAGTAAATGATGCTTTTCTGAATAAATCAGATATAGGCCAGCACCAACAGCATTTCCAATGACACCTAGCGAGCACTGATTCTAGTACATGATAAGATTCAAATATATTCGAGCAAATAATTAAAAATACGGCGAAAATTGTTGACCCGAATTAACTCGGGCAAATATTTTTTGAAAAATGGAAGACGTTCGAGTTATCTCGGACGCGTCACGGAGGAGCTTAAGAAAATAGTTTATAGAAAATAAAGAATAGAAAATATCAAATAGCATTGCAATTAACGTGATAAAAAAACTATTGACATATTTTTGTCCTATCCTAAAAGTTTTAAATGTGTATTACACATTCACCCCTCTGATATAATAGTTGTTCTTAATTTACGCGGTGAATCTTAATCAATGCTCGGAACTTCCAAATATAATATTTATTCTGACACGCACATTTTTCTTGGTTGGGAAATAATTATAGTAATTTTCCTTACATAATATCTATTAGAATTAAAAGAAGGATAAATATTTCAATAGAAGTAGTTTTAAGACGATCTTTAGAACTTCCAAATCAGCGCCACAAGCTAAATAATTAATTTTTTTTTGTTAATGAAATTGTTGTAAATAACATCAAACGCACCACAGCCTATCAAGTGAGATCCATCAGCGCATCCTTCCCTGGATTCCTTGGTTCGGAAACATCTGTGATGTTGAGAAACACACTCTCCATTCATGCACAGGAACTCGTCTTCATTGCATGTTCGTCTTCTGTTGTCTAAGTAAAATACATACATAAACACTCCTGTTTGACCACGTTTTATAAGTTTGAGTAAATGTCTCTATAAAATACTGGCCTCACGTTGGGAGAAACTGATACATAAGTCGTATACATATTTTCTACAGAAATAGGTTTTAAATTTCCACATTAGTTACGACAGCGGAGTAACGTAAGGAAAATTAAAGACTAAATACGATCACCAACAACAAGAAAATGACTGATAGGCAATTATGCAGGTTCTAAAAAAATAATAATAAAAAAATCCAAGTTTAAAAAAAAAGCAAGAGAAAGAAATCAGAGACACAAAAAAGAAAAAAGACAAAAAAAAAAAAGTTTACGTCTAACAGAAAGTTGATGATAAAGGTATTAGAAGACCGATACACCTAGAATTCTTAACGAGAAGGAAAGGAAACAGAGGGGAAGCCATGAAAAATATATAGAACGAAATTGGTATAAACAAAATAAAAAAAGACGTTGAAAGGCAGTAGAGAGGTTATGAAAAGAATGATATATATGTATAAGATATTAATAAGCTTTGAGGAGAGATAAATCTTAAAGAAAGATCATGAAAGTAAAAGACAATATTAGCAAAATGAAAAACAAAAAACAAAAAAAAACGTTAAGAAGTTTCTATCTATATCTTACCACAAAACTTTTCATCCGAAAAATCCGGACAGTCAAGCCGGAAATCACACCACCAGTCTAGCCGGATACATTGTCCGCCGGAACATTTCACGTAATCATCAGGGCAATCTTCTTGAACTGAATCAAAAAATATCAATTATTTGGGTTAAGAAGAATCCGGCTTAAGGAAAATTAACTATTTGTTGAAAACCTCACTTTTGTATGTAGTTAATTAGATTAGTTGATTTTCTAAAAGACTAAATTGTTCTATAAATTGCATCGGAACCATCATCGTGAAATGGTTTAATGAAACAATCAGAAACATTGTAACACTTATAATGTATGTGGCAAACAACCAGAAACATTGTAACACTTATAATGTATGTGGCAAACAATCAGAAACATTGTAACACTTATAATGTATGTGGCAAACAACCAGAAACATTGTAACACTTATAATGTATGTGGCAAACAATCAGAAACATTATAATACTTAGAATGTATGCGGCAAACAATCAGAAACATTGTAACACTTATAATGTATGTGGCAAACAACCAGAAACATTGTAACACTTATAATGTATGTGGAAAACAACCAGAAACATTATAACACTTATAATGTATGTGGCAAACAACTAGAAACATTATAATACTTATAATGTATGTGGCAAACAACCAGAAACATTGTAACACTTATAATATATGTGGCAAACAATCAGAAACATTGTAACACTTATAATGTATGTGATAAACAATCAGAAACATTGTAACACTTATAATGTATGTGGAAAACAACCAGAAACATTATAATACTTATAATGTATGTGGCAAACAACCAGAAACATTATAACACTCATAATGTATGTGGCAAACAACCAGAAACATTGTAACACTTATAATGTATGTGGCAAACAATCAGAAACATTGTAACACTTATAATGTATGTGATAAACAATCAGAAACATTGTAACACTTATAATGTATGTGACAAACAATCAGAAACATTGTAACACTTATAACGTATGTGATAAACAATCAGAAACATTGTAACACTTATAATGTATGTGACAAACAATCAGAAACATTGTAACACTTATAAAGTATGTGGCAAACAATCAAAAACATTGTAACATTTATAATGTATGTGACAAACAATCAGAAACATTGTAACACTTATAACGTATGTGGCAAACAATCAGAAACATTGTAACACTTATAAAGTATGTGATAAACAATCAGAAACATTGTAACACTTAAAATGTATGTGATAAACAATCAGAATTATTGTAACACTTTTAATGTATGTGATAAACAATCAGAAAATTGTAACACTTAGAATGTATGCCGTTTCTTGTTAGTTAGTTAGTTAGTTTGTTTGTCTGTCTTAGATTATAGCGTTGTAAGTTCGTAAACGTACCGTTGTATTCTGAGCCCAATAAAATAAATACAGTAAGAAATAATGTGTTAACGCTGTATGTACAACAGTCTCTGTTCCAAATAACACAAGAAAATAACGATACTTGTTTTATAACTCGTAGTCAGATTCTGTACCGTACCTAAAGGTACATAAAGAAAGTCACGTTGTTGAATAACAATGTTTGTAAAATATAACCCAAGTTAGAGTTCTTGGTTAGGACCTGTAATCAGTATAAATCATAAATGTTTAAGTAAGTTTCAGATTTGTAAAGTTTGATAATTTAAATGTTATATACATAAATATATCGATTTAAAGAAGTTTGTTATATTACATTTCTAAAACAAAACTAACATTTTTATACGTTACGAACATAAGAAAACAAAAAGTAATTCATAGAACAATAATGCATTATTGTTGCTAATAAAACAAAATGTAATTCATAGAACAATAATGCATTATTGTTGCTAATAAAACAAAATGTAATTCATAGAACAATAATGCATTATTGTTGCTAATAAAACAAAGTAATTCATAGAACAACAATGCATTATTGTTGCTAATAAAACAAAAAGTAATTAATAGAACAATAATGCATTATTGTTGCTAATAAAAAAAGTAATTCAAAGAACAATAATGCATTATTGTTGCTAATAAAACAAAGTAATTCATAGAACAACAATGCATTATTGTTGCTAATAAAGCATAAAGTAATTAATAGAACAATAATGCATTATTGTTGCTAATTATCACTTTTCACATTCATTCCTCGAATTTATTTGATGAAATAAAATATTTCAAATTTACTCTCCAAACATATAAATACTTTTATAGGTATTGAAGAAACAACAGTTGATTAATTCTTATTATTATTTACATACCACAATCAACTTCGTCACTTCGGTCACGGCAGTGGTACTGTGCATCACAACGGTATTTCTCTTCGATGCACTGACCGTTGTAACAACGAAAGTGACTTGGACCACACGTTGTGAGCGCTGTCGAAAGCAATAAAAATAAACACAACAACATCACTAGTTACTAACATAGCATTTAAGAAAATGACAGAGAGTTCTGATAATCAGATCAAAAAACTTCAACAAATCTGAAGACTCTTTTTAAAATCATGCGAAACCTCACAGACTGTTTGTTCTTTGCAGTCTGCTAGAAATACTGTAGCTCAAAAACGACTCTAGAGAAAGTAGTAACTTTAGAAAATAGAACACAAAATTCTGAAATGTTTCTATTTGTCAATTTGTTAGTTTGTTTTAACGTTACTGGAACTTCGAATAGTTACCGAGCGGTAGATGTTTGCTTTAATTCTTTCACAGTTTCTAACTGGCCACTTTTTTTTTTGGCTTATCGTGATTGGATAATCGTATAATTTGTAATTGGTTATCTGGAATTTTAACGTGACTGTACGCCCACTAGTTTTTAACTGGTCATTTGTTTGATTTATCGTAAGAGAACGTTCGTATAATTTCTAACTGGTCATTTGTGTGATTTATCGTAAAAGAACGTTCGTATAATTTCTAACTGGTCATTTGTGTGAGTTATCGTAAGAGAACGTTCGTATAATTTCTAACTGGTCATTTGTGTGATTTATCGTAAGAGAACGTTCGTATAATTTCTAACTGGTCATTTGTTTGATTTATCGTAAGAGAACGTTCGTATAATTTCTAACTGGTCATTTGTTTGATTTATCGTAAGAGAACGTTCGTATAATTTTTAACTGGT